TGCAATTAGTGTCATAGCTCATGAGTGAATCATCATCGGTTGCCTAACATCCTGAGGGCCTAGTTTACACCAAACGCGCTCACTCAATTCATATGACATTAAATGTATGACGGACTGTACAGCCTAACAAATGACATTTATGTTAGTATGGATGGATGAAATGCATCTCATCGACATATTTTATGTCAAAGTATGGAACAAGTAGAACCTTGATTGCCTTACGAGTCTTGACCGACAGATAACGGAGTGTGAATGAGTCGTGCATGGCACGTAGCACGTAGGCCATTTACTATCGTTTGGATATTGACCTCAACATGATACCAAGGAGATTGCCATGTATCTAAATAAGGGCACTATTCCTTCCTCTCGTTCCCACAGCTTGACCGCCAACAACCCAACCAGTGAAGGCCAAGTTTGTCCCGGGGGCGAGTTAAGCTGTCATTGGACCCGCAACGAAATTAATCAGAAGAACATAGGAGTTCGAAGTTAAGGTTCGACATTCTGAATTTAAATAATAATGGAAAAGTTCTTCCAAAAGCAACATATAAAGTGTTATTTCTCTGTTAGATTGGCTCAAGTGGAGCAAATTAGAGACCTGTCTTCTTCAAAGTCATATTTTATTTAAATGGACGAATTGCCTCAATCTACTCCCAATTATTTTGCACCATTCGCACAATGAAGCGTATTGAAGTGCGCTATTGCAGCACTGTTTTGTTTTTAACCAACTTTAAGAAAAGACCTCTTCCTTTTTTTGAAGTCGGTTAAAAACAAATTCTCAATTTGGTTGGTATGTTTTTAGTTGGATGACCTTATACAGGGTGTCTCCTTAAGTATGGAACTAACAAAAAGGATTAATTATACAGCTGTAAGGCTCAAACGCAAAAGCTTTCCTTCCCGAAGTTCCAAAGTTCAAATGTTTAAAAAAAACTGGTGTACAAAATTCTTTTGTAGGTACCTACTTTTTTTGAGAATTTAGATGTTTTTTTCTTTGCGGTCCAGTGTATAAAAATGTAGGTAGGTAAGTACCTATTTTAAAAAGTTACAGTTAAAATACGCAATTACAAAAACAATGCGGTTAGATAACCGAGTTATTGTGACAATAATGATTTAAAATGCATTTAGTATTAGCATACAATAGAATGCATAAACAAGCATTACTTGACAGAACTGCAATGCATTCATTTAGAAGGACTTAATGACTAATTGTTTTTATTGTTATGTCCATTTCATGATTAGTTATTTTTTTGTGATTAGCAATTATTTCTTTGATTGAAAGGTCTATTTTAAAGTAAAGTTGTTATTCGCATAATATTTGACATTTCGGTATAGAAATGTGAAAAAATTCTAAGATCTCTTTTTAAAAAAAAAACTGTGAAGGGGCTAAACTTGACCACCTTCATTTGTAGGGAACAAATGGGAATTAATTCATAAAAAAAATATCATAATTGATTTACATTTTTGCTGCATCACTTAACACCAGTTGCGATTGCGGTCAAATACCTGCCTTGTTATGCATAAAAAAAATCACTTCCATTCTACAAATTCTAAAAATAAAATAACAACAAAACAGAAGAACAAAACCTGTTTAATTATTCTAATCACACAATCTCGATCAAGAAGCTTCGAGATCGCCATCGCTAACAGGAAAAACATATAGTTACTATATGTATAACATATACAATATACAGGGTGGAAACGATAAGTGATCTCACTCGATTATTTCTAAACTACACAAGATATCGAAAACTGCTTACTGATCCTGAAAGTATTTCACGAGCCCTTTCAAACGGTACCAATATGTTTATTCTGTAACCTATTGTTGATACCGTTGAATAGAGCTCGTGAAGCACTTTTAGGATCAGTAACAAGTTTTACGATATCTTGTGCAGTTTTTAATATTATGTGGATTTACCAAATGTATGGAGGCTGGAAACATCGAATTTTCAAATAGATCCAGTTTATTTGATGGATCTCATATTATGAAGCACTTTCAATATCAAAAACTAGTTTTTTGATATCTTGTGTAGTTTAGAAATAATCGAGTGAGATCATCACTTATCGTTTCCACCCTGTATGCGTGTCAGGAAGTCACATGACCGCGAGGTCACTTGTAAACATATACATACTCGTTGCATAACAATGGAGAACACTGTGCGTTGCTATTGTTATTAGATTATCGCTAACTCTTGTTTATTAATACTAACTAGGTATAATTTTCAAGTATATTATTATAGTAGTCTCTTTATATGTTTTTTAACTATGTCGGCGTTGATGCGGTTTTACATTATTAGATAGATGCCCGTTTTCACCATAAGTGACCCCTATGGTAACACATAGGGGTCATTCAAAAATTAGGTGTTGATGGTGAAAACGGGCAAGAGTGATTCAAGATGGGATGGGAAAGGGGCGGAAAAAATTAAATTGTCTTGGAGCTTTCATCAAAAAAACTTCCTAATCCATTATTTTAGAGATGTAACAAAACTACTGTGAGATTATATAATCTTTTATTAACCTATAAAAAGTACTTATACGTTGGCAGATTCACAGTTCGCACCTATCTGTGCGAAGTGCGAACTGCGAATCCGGGGGAATTTGTATTTACGAAACTAGAAAACTTGAATAATTTGCAAAAAAACCTTCAACAATAATAAAAATGGACCAAAAACAAAATAGCTCTCTTTTAATTAACCGACTGCAAAAACAAGAATGTTTTCTTGTAAACTACTCCCGTATAAAAAGATGTTATCTCCGCCTCTTACCACCCAACGTGAATGCCAAAGGTCATTAAGAAAACCTTTCGCAAATGTCAAAGGTTATCAGAAACGAGTGCTCTGGTGAAATGGAGCGACGTGCGCGAAGTTGCTACGAAGTAATGGATAAGAAATCACCATAGATCATTTTCAAGGAAATTTTGGGGTAAAAAGCAATATGATTTTAACTGTAAAGTAATATTTTAGTTGCTTTTAAAACAATAAATAGTTGAGTCAAAAAGCTCCTACTTACTGTGATCAATGAGGGCTATCGTTTTTATACTTAACAGTTGGCACCCCTGGCGATTGACAGGACCTTACTCTACAGTGGCGCCATCTTGATGAGTGCAAATACGATAGTCCTCCTACCACTTTCTCGCTCACCAGTTGGTGCCACTGTCTTCGCTACTAGCAAGTGACAGGACCTTACTCTACAGTGGCGCTAACTGGTGAGCGCTAAAACGATAGCCCTCATTGACATTAAAATTAAGTTTGAGCTATACCTAGTAAATATTCTAAAAAAACATTTTAAAGTTTTTATGTTTAGGCATATTATGACCTTGTTAAAGCCAATGAACAAGCTATCTAAAATAAAATGAAACGGGCCTTTTCAGGCGAGAGTGAATAGGCACTTACAGGGCAGATACCTTCCTAGACTGCATCTCACTTAACACCAGGTGCGATTGCAGTCAAATACCTGCCTTGTCTTGCATAAAAAAAAATATTTTATTTTAATTATTACACAGGTTTATAAAATGTTTTTAAAGCCGACATCAACAAAAATATGTCAACATTCAACAACCTGCAAAAAAACAAAAGAGCTTCCTCGTTTTGGATAAAAGATAGATCCGTCTTAAAAGACAATTTCTATTGTGTCCTAGCCTCATATGGTATCTGAACAGTACAGCGATACAATTTGCCGATTCAACGGATCGAATAATTGAATAGAATATCGATTTATAGCACCCACTCGATAACTGAGAAAATCTATTCACTTACAAAACACAATGGCGTTAAATTAAAAACCTTTTTTGAAACATTCTATGATTTTTTTGAAGTTATAGGAACTGTAGGAAAGTGCAAAATGCAAAATTATAAAAATGTGCATTTTTCTCATTCTCCTTTTTTATCGATCGTATCTTAAGGAGAGTATAGACTAGCTAGAGCATTTCTATGTAACGTTCTTACGAATGGTACACAATACAGGTAAAATGTACGACGTTTGGAAGGGTGAATGCTCTAGCTAGTCTATTCTATACTCACCTCTACTAGTATACAAGTAGAGGTAAAGGTATTAAAGTATGTTTCATAATTTGTTTTATTTGTTTCAGGTCTAAATGCTTGCGAAAGGAAATCTTTCGTGTTTTTGCGGAAGGAGTTGCCAGTGAGGTAATTTATTAACATTTTTCATCATTTATTTACCTAAACACAAACATATTACATAATAATTGGATCATGGACGTACCATGCCCCGTTTCAGTGTCTTCATTTCAATATGGTGACCGTGAAAACCTACTTTAGTGACTTACATAATTTAATTATGTCACGTGTACTATGCTCGTGTAAACAAAATACACGTTTGTACAGTAGCTGCCTGAGTAGAATAAAATAAAGATAACATTTTGTTACTAGGGTGACGTCACTTTTGCACGTTCTCCTTTTCTTGAGTTCATATTCTTCCAATTGTCCCGAAGTAGTTGTCACGGTAATATTATTACTGTGCATGTGCAGTGTATAGTCAATGTTATAAGATAGTTTCATCCACGAAGACGCGCCCCACCAATTTTTGGTCTCGGTCGCGCGGGGTGCGGGGAGTTTGATCCGAGCAATCCGAGCGGCATTTTTGTAATGTGCGTGTGCACTCATGGATAATTTAGCGTGTACCGATAACACTCAAACATTAGCGGAAGAATGGTGGGGCGCGTCTTCGTGGATGAAACGATGATAAAGATTTATGTTCTACCCTTCCCCACCGAACCCTATGGTTTAAGACATCGAACCCTAAGCTAATTTATGCCTAAACATATTTCTAAGCCCATGGAGAGTAGGTCAAATCCTCCATTTACCTCTGGTAAATTTGAGTGTGTCGTGTATCGTGTTTCTGTTCTTGTAGTGGTGATTTTTTTTAATTTAGTCGGTGTCACTGGTGTCACTGTGCCTTCTTCTCTTATACACAGACGACAGCACAACAAGCTTAACACTGACATCTTTATGCTATTATAATAGGGCCTATTTTGCAAAAAATATGTAGTCTCATGTGCTGTATGTACTGTATTTTAAGAGTAAAGAGTAGCGTGTTTGTATACTGATAACGGCATCTCACTTTATCAACGTGTTCTTCATTAACATCGCTTGTTTTGGAGTAGCGGGTTTTTTTAGATTGTAATTTTCCTAGTATTTTTAGCTTAGTATCTAGAAAAATACTAAATCTGGCTTTTAAAGTAAATAAACATATTTTTCTACCTATAAATAGCACCTATCTAGGCTCTAATTAAATAAAGCTTGTGTATGTAGACTATTGTCATCATCATCATCATCTCAGCGATAGGACGTCCACTGCTGAACAATCTGAACATAGGCCTCCCCCAACGCTTTCCATGTTGCCCGGTTGGTAGCGGCCTGCGTCCAGCGCTTTCCTGCTACCTTTATGATGTCGTCGGTCTACCTTGTGGGTGGACGTCTCACGCTGCGTTTTCCAGTACGCGGCTTCCACTCCAAAACCTTGCTGCCCCATCGGCCGTCAGTTCTGCGTACTATGTGCCCTGCCCATTGCCACTTGAGCTTGCTAATCCGTCGGGCTATGTCCTACTTTAGTTCGTTTACGAATCTCCTCATTTCTGAATTTCTGATTAGATCTCGTAAAGAAACACCGAGCATAGCCCTCTTAACACATAGTAGACTATTGTAGACGACGTCAATGTGTTTCGAGATATCATCATCATCACTTCAGCCACAGGACGTCCACTGCTGAACATAAGCCTCCCCCAATTCCAAATCCGAGGAATACTATTTGGATGTCTCTACTCCTAAGAGTCAAGACATCATCATCATCATTTCAGCCATAGGAATAGACGTAATACAGGCAGGACTCCCATTCGTTGGACTGAGGATCTAGTGAAAGTCGAGGGAAGCACCTGGATGCGGGCAACGCAGGACCGGTCGTTGTGAAAATCCTTGGAGAAAGCTCATGTCCGGCAGTGACGTCATTTTTAGGTGGTGGTTTCCATAAGATGGACCGACGACATCATTATGGTAGCAGGAAGGCGATGGATGCAGGCCGCTACCAACCTGGCGATGTGTCAATCATTGGAGATGTCCTACCTTCAGCAGTGGACGTCCTGTGGCTGAAATGATGATGAACGTCCTTTGGTTAAACAAGCTAGTAACCTTTAAAAAATGTATCTACCAGGTATATTATGCCTGTTTTCACCATCAATCTCTAATTTTTAAGTGACCCCTATGGTAACACATACCAGGAATTTTGTTTATGAAAAGTCACTAAAAATTTAGGGATTGATGGTGAAAAAAACAGGCATTTGTCTTTTATAGACACAACAATGCTATCAGAATCTAAAACAAAACCCACTGAACACACAACTGTATTGTTTAGACAGCCTCTAATCACTGTTATCAAGCCTATCTTAATCATCACAGCGGCTCTTGTGTAATTGCACACTGATAAAGTGATCAATCGATCAGCTATAGCCACTTATCCAGTGCAAACAAGATTTACTTTATAGGTTAATGTTTGAAGTGTGCATATACATGATGATTTTTAGAAAGAAAGAAAGAAAAATATTTTAATTAGTCCAAACATCCTTAGACTACTTACAACAATATAATTACAAAGTAGTTAAATTTTAACCAAAATGGCAGCCACTCAGCATGTGCTATGCCCTAGGTCAAGACCTAGAGTATAACGCTGGTAATAGCTGTGGCAACCATATCAAGTGGGTAGACATTAATATTTAAGTTTTACACAAAACAAAAAAATAAATAACACAGTGCTCTTCAAGTGTGTATTGCGTATGTAATGTATATGTGCATGTGTGTGTTAGTATTATTAATCTTACCTAACAACCAGATTTACCACGTTCACTTTTACCTAAAATGTCGACACTAAACGGGACTATTCCCACCTCTCGTTCCCACCGCTGCAACTCCTGTGTAGCCAGGGTCTATAGCTTGACCGCCAATAAAAACCTAACCAGTGGAGGTCAATTTTGTCCCATTATTGTCGACGTTAATAAACTATAATAAGCTGGATTCGTAGGATCGGTCGTTGTGGAAATCTTTAGAAAAGGCCTTTGTCCAGCAGTGGACGTGTATTGGCTGAATTAATAGTACCTAATTACAATTTAAAAGTCAAACAAAAGACCAAATTAAAAGTATAGAGGCTTACCTCAAATTTAAATTCCTATCCTTGCCTTTAGGATTCATCTAAACACCATGATAACAGATTGCCAGCGGAGTTATAGGGTGTCACAGAATGGGTGAATCAAACTGCTATAAAGAGTTTACCCATAGCAGTTTGATTCACCCAATCTGACACACCCTGTATAAATAGAGTTCCATTTGCACTCTTTGGGTGCGGAATTCTAAAAATTACCCCCCATAAACACACTTAAAACATTACCTCTCTATCATATCATAAAATAATAAAAGAAAAACAAAATAACCGCACTTAACCCTGATCATTGTTATCGTGCACACACACGAATAAGTAAACACATAGATAACATTATATTTGTTTAAATACTCATATCGTGGATATGACCAAGGTTGGTCATTCTACCGGCTAGAAAATAAATAATATTTACATAATAGAGATAGGTACTCATTAAATGAGTTGGAATACGAAACCGGTTATTAGTAAATGATAATGAAATCGATGTTAAAATAATATATAGCCTGACCAGGAACATAAAAACCCTCGCCATGTTGCGGAAAACTAATGGTACTGTGGCGACTACGTCCCACTTACGCCTCATACCAATTAATTAAAATATACGTAATTGTAATACTTCTTGTACAAACTTAAGATGTAAATGCTTTGTTAGTTATAGCGTGTTAATTTTAGAGCATGGTAATTTTAGTTTCTCACGCACCTGCAATTTTAGATTTTATTGTCGGAATGTTTAACTCAAATCTTTTTAGTGTTTCGCCGATGTAACATGTGGTCCATTGTTGATCTATGCAATCATTGCAGGTGTCTGTGTATCAAGCAACACCAACCTTTGTAATGTCTTTCTATTGTTTGTTGTTTACTTTGTATTATGTTTGTGCCAACCTTTGCCATGTGTTTCATGCTAATTGTTTTGTTTGTACCTTCGTGTTCTTTTTACTTTGTTTTACGATTGTTACCTGAAAAGGCCTCCGACCGTCGAGAGAAAAAACAATGTTTAGTTTAGTCAGTCAGTACGCAACCTCGGTACCGGTCGGACGCCTTGAAGGCCCATCCTCGCGCTTACACAATACAGTTACCGTCTTACCAGTCTATATGAACTTTTATTTATAAAAACCTACGAACCCTGCTACCCGAGTATAGAGCGCCGACAGTACTAATTTCTTTTAATGGCAACAGTAACTAAAAACTTCATTGACATGTCACCTTGCATGTCAGTCTATTGCTGTCAAAGTGTAAACAAACTTTATTTTAAATGTGCGCAATTGATTTTGTGAATGAAATTGCTAAAATCTTTTTATAGTCGTGAAAGAAAAGTGGTTCACAATGTGTTAAAGTATTTGTCGAAGAGAAATACCAAGGGTTCGGACAATATTTTCATTGAAAATGTTTCCAATAAAGGTTGTCAAATTGACTGACATGTTTATCGTATAGTACAGTCCACTATGAAAAAAAGCTTGTAAATTAGCTGTGGTTTGTTTCAACTACCTATTTTAAAGTATTTTGTCACTTTCTAAAAGTTGAATTTTATGGAATTGGGAAAGAAGTACCGAGTTTGAAGCGTTCATGAGCAGACATTGCAGTTGAATATTCAAGTTCTGAATTTGATTATTGATGAATAATAAAATAAATCCTACTAGTTCGATTGATGGTTTCATTTAATTATTTAAACCAGGTTACCTATAATAATATTTTTTCGTTAATTTATGAAAATATCAAATAAGCCCGTAATCCTTAATCCTGAAACATAAAGTTAGCCTATTAATTTAACACAGGTACGACTGTACTCAGTGTTGCACTATCAAATGCAATTGAAGCGCCTCTATGCCAGGGTTTTTATGTTCCTGGTCAGGCTATACCAAATACATTTTAGATTACTTATATGAAAATTGTGTTGCAGAATGTTATGTAACAATATTTCAATATTTTTGACAAAAAAAAAGAAAGACAAAATCCAATAAACGATTATAAACTCCTAATTTGATTCAACGAGTTTTTTTTAAGTAGGCCTTCATCATCATCATCATCATTATTTCAGCCATAGGACGTCCACTGCTGAACATAGGCCGCTACCAATCGATCAACATCGAAAGCATTGAGGGAGGCGTATGTTCAGCAGTGAAGTAGGCCTTATAAATGCAAAAAAAAAACAAAATTAACAAACACCATAAACTCTTAAAAATTGTCTCACCGCATAAAAGCCATTTTCAGACACATAAACCAAGTCCCAAAAACGTACATGCCTTACCACTACTCCCGAGACATTTCGGCTGGTGTTGAAAAGGCGCAAAGACACTAATTATCAGGTGATCAGGTCATTTAGTTTCCATCTGCAAGAGCACGGCTCTCTCTAGAAGTTTGCCAGAGGCAAACTTCCCACCCTGGCCAGACGGGATGGGGGGCCTGATATTTGTAACCTTTTGTCAATAAAGATTCCAAAATTAACAAAACATTGTACTTATCATCTGTTTTTCGTCAAAATATTTTCATTTTCAACGAACGATAACCACGCCTCCTATCTTGGGGGCAAAGATTCCTGTCAATATTGATAAAGAATTCGCACGCTTAAGATAAAATTATTTTGGTCGTTAGTTCTTTGAAGAAGATTCTGTACATGATGTTTTTCTAATGGATATCACCATTTATATCAATCAGAATATTGATAATACTTAATTGCTTTGGTTTCTTAAGTTATTTATATTATTAATGTATTTATTATGTATGAATTAATCGCCTCGATGTTGGCAGCACAGGACCGGTCGTTGTGGAAATCCTTGGGGAAGGCCTTTGTGCAGCAGTGGACGTCATTTGACTGACACGAACGAGCGACTGATTTTGTAAATATCTATTTAAACACTGATGTTACTAAATCGTCGACATAAAGATAGATTGTACTCCATGCGTCGTACGTAGCATAAAGACATCACAACAATCTCAAATGCAATATCCTTAACCTATCTTCGTTTTTATAAAACAAACAATAAGATATCTGTCAAAAAGAAGTAGGTACAAGGCTCAAGTAGGCAATTGCCAAGCGGAACTGCGATAGCCATCTAAGAAAAACATAATTTATCACAAACTCTCATCATAAAGATATCAAATCTCCGAGATTAAAGGATTGGATACTGCAAATTGTACAAATAACTTTATCCGTGTGGCATCGAATCTAGAGAAGCGTTTGAGTGAGTGATGGATAGATAAAGGCACGCCTATAAGATATTTGGGATGATTAGGGCTTGAATTTTGGTATGCTGCAAATTAAAAAAGGTTTCAAATAGATAAGCAGTAAAATTGCTTTTAATTATGAGTAAACATTGCCATTTCTGAGAGGCGTACAACAGGGTACTATTTTGGAACCTCAATTATTCTTCCGCATCATTTAGTTAAAGTTATCCCAAGAACCAAATAATAAGCAAAATATAAAAATCATAAATTGCTTTGGTCGACGATCTAGTCAAGGTCGCGGGAAGCACCTGGATGCGGGCAGCGCAGCTCAGGACATGATTTTGATGCTTAAATTGCAGTGTCACAACATGACGCAATGTTTTGTTTCAATAAACTGTACTCTCACTGGTTGGATAATGCGGACATTCTATACAAACAACTCAATTAATAATTTAATTGGAGCATCCCGTCTAATCGAGCGTGTATTATTGTAACGTTTACGTCATTTACAAATTGTGTTTTGTTAATTATTTTTTACTGTATGAATGAGTTTCTTCCGCCATTTTTTCTCATTACCAGTCCATAAATGTTGTTCCGAAGTGGTGGTAGGGCAATTTATATTTGGGACGTGTACAAGTGCCCTGGAAAGGGCGGGCCTAAGTCATCATCGTCATCATAATTTCAGTCATAGGACATCCACTGCTGAACAAAGGCCTCCCCCAATGATTTCCATGTTGCCCGGTTCGTAGCAGCCTGCGTCCAGCGCCTTATAGACGTCCTGCGTTTTCCGGTACGTTAGGGCCTAAGTTCTTAATAAAATTTTGATTTTGGTGTTGATTATGTGGGATTATTCCTGGCTAGGACTTCGCGTTTGGGGAATGATGATAGGAATCAAGGCTATTGCAGTAGTAAATAAGATATGAGTACTGCCGATGCATTGCCAAGTTTTCTGAGACTTACCAATAAAATTTAGTAGCCATCTAAATCATCTATTATGAATAAACATGAAGCAATTCCCTGAAAATAGTTTCGGTTAAAACAGAAAAAATAAAAATTATCTTTGCAAACGTGAACATTTAAGTTAGTAAACTAGTTAAATATTAATTAATTGCAGAACATGAATGAATGATTAACATGCAGTAGTCACGCCAGCCACGATTATTTAATTAATAATAACAGCTATCATGTTACATAATTTAACGATTATAACTATCTTTTCCACGCTGCTTCATTCGCAGATTTAGCCCCGTTAACTTTCCTCGTGGACTGTCTAAAAATTTTCTTCCTTTGTTCGAATATCCTTACACAAAAAATCGGTCCTTTAAAATGCTTGTATGTTGTATAAAATATTTGAACTACATAGTCGGATACCTCTCCAACCCGTTTAGCTAGCGTGGGGAGTGTAGGCCACATCCTCCATTAGCCTCTGGTAAATTTGAGAGGGTCGTGCTCCTGCAACTGAGACTAAATGACCTGATGATGTCGTTGAAGAACTGATTTATTCGAAATGGTCCAAAAGTTGGAGCTCATCCTATCAGTTCAGTCACAGGACGTCCACTGCTGAACATAGGCCTCCCCCAATGATTTCCACATCGCCCGGTTGGTAGCGGCCTGCATCCAGCACCTTCCTGCTACTTTTATAAGGTTATCGGTCCACCCTGTGTGTGGACGCTGTGTTTTCCGGTATGTGGCCTCCTCTCCAGAACCTTGCTGCCCCATTGACCGTCAGTTCTGCGTACTATATGCCTTACCCATAGCCACTTCAGCTTGCTAATCCTTCCCAAAATAATTTTAACTGCTCCTAACCTATCGTCATCTCTGTCTTACCCCAGACTGGCGAACATAATGAAAGAGATAGCGCTACTCCCAGAGAATCTACTGCGGATGCCGTCCGTAGGCATGGTGAACCAGTGGTACGAGCGGTCTTTCGAAGAGATCATCCAGTTTGAGAAGATGGAACCTGATCCGCCGGTGTTGAGTCAGTAAGTAGCTTTAACTCATTAGGGCTCTGACCCACGGAGATATCCCGTTTTGTAATATACGTGTTTTATTTTTATCTTGTTTTATTCAGAAAACAAACAGCTTACAAATACATAAATTGCATAGATACAATGTTGGTGGTCAAAGCCTATAGTTTTCACCTCTATTAAATAACTAAGGGGTATAAAATTTAACTTTTAGTTATAAGTTGGAACAAAGAAAACATTTATGGAAAGAAAGAAGTTCGAAGAAACGCGTGAAATCATCTCTTAGTGAGCACCTAGGTTCTAAAAGGAACCCCCTTTCAAAAATCGAGACTCCTAGCACTTGTAGTGAGATTTCGTGATGAGTAAGTCAGTCAGTCAATCAGTGACCTTTCGCTTTTATAGATATAGATTTGAATTGATTTGATTTTATCTTCCATTCCACCAGGTTCTGCGAACGTCTGGTTCACATCAGGAACCGTCACGCGGACGTAGTCCAAACCATGGCGCAAGGAGTGCTAGAGCTGAAGGAGTCTCACGAGGTGGATCCTGGCACGGAGAACTCCATCCAGTACTTCCTCGACCGGTTCTATATGAGCCGGATATCCATTCGGATGCTGATCAACCAGCACAGTATGTGGGCTATAGATAGTCTTTATTGTATCCTCATCATCATTTCAGCCATAGGACGTCCACTGCTGAACATAGGCCTCCCCCAATGCTTTCCATGTTGATCGATTGGTAGCGGCCTGCGTCCAGCGCCTCCCTGCTACCTTTATCTCGTCGGTCCACCTTGTAGGTGGACGTCTCACGCTGCGTTTTCCACTAATTTAATAAAGGCAAATGGAGGATTTGACATACACTCTTCACGCTGGCCAGACCGCTTAGGGACGCCTCATATTGTCCTCCATACAATACTTATTCGACCGGTTCTATATGAGGACGTGGTTCAGACGATGGCGCAAGGAGTCCTAGATCTGAAGAAGTCTCACGAGGTGGACCCTGGCACGGAGAACTCCATCCAGTACTTCCTCGACCGGTTCTATATGAGCCGGATATCTATTCGGATGCTGATCAACCAGCACAGTAAGTGGACTATCATCTTCATCGTCATCAGGTCATTTACTCTACACTACAGGTGCTCGACCCTCTAATTTCATCATCATCATCATTTCAGCCATAGGACGTCCACTCCCCCAATGCTTTCCATGTTGATCGATTGGTAGCGGCCTGCGTCCAGCGCTTTCCTAATTTTCGATAATGTAACTGACGTACTAATGTCCGTTTTCACCATCAATCCCTAATTTTTAAGTGACCCCAATGAAAACAAAATTCCTGTTATGTGTTGGTGAATACGGCTATAAAAGTTTTTTTAGGAAACTAGCCTATTCCCCTAATCTATGGAAATAAATATGGTTTTATTATCTCCCCAGCGCTCCTCTTCGGCGAGCAAATCGGCGCAAAACAAGCGTCAGTCAACGGCATAGGCAATGGCGGCCGGCATATTGGCTCCATCGACCCGGCGTGTGACGTAGTGGCAGTCGTTAAAGATGCCTACGAGAACGCCAGGTTCCTCTGCGATAGGTATTACCTGGCGTCGCCTGAGCTGGAGATCCTTCAGGGGGGAGGTGAGTCATTTAGTCCACTTGCCTATTTCAGCGTTACTACCAAGAAGACCGTATCTATATGATGCAATAAACATTTATGACTATGACTTTAACAGACCACGCATCATGTCGCAGCAGATGTTTTGTGTGTGAGCTGGAGATACTATAGGGAGGAGGTGACTCAGTTAAGACTCCCATTTTATCTTCCAGATACTGTTCCAAGATCCAGGACAGTTAGATATTCCCTAGGACTAACCTTCACTGGTCGAGTTTCATTGGATCCCGGCTAGACAGGAGTTGCAGTGGTGGGAAAGAAGTGGGATTAGTCCAGTTAGATGAAATACCTCATGCTAAATGTACTAGGATCTTTCAGCTTCAAGACATTTTTGGCAGCAATGAACACGGGTCTATTCCGACCTCTCGTTCCCACCGTTGCAACTCCTGTGTAGCCAGGATCTACAGCTTGACCGCCATTAAAAGTGCCGCGCCAGTGAAAGTCAAGTTTGTCCCGTTTTTTCCTTCGGAAAATACGGATGGCCAGTTGGTATACGGGACTCTCCCTGCCAGAATGAATGGGGCCCACCCTCTAAAGCCCAACGGTGCCGCGAGTTATTGTCCCAACTGTCCAGTCATCGTACCCTCTTATGATAACCGCTCCTATATATAATATTCATAATAGTGACTGAGTTTCTTACGCTGCTTCTTCTCAGCACTGGCCCATTTATTCTCCCGAAGAAGTGGTAGGGTTAATACTGAGACGTGTAAAAGTGCTTTTTAAAAGCCTACTTGCAAAAATAAAATGAGTTTTACCTTCTTTTTCCAGTGCCCAGTGAGCGGCCAATGCCAGTAGTCTACGTGCCGTCCCATCTCTACCACATGCTGTTCGAACTGTTCAAGAACGCCATGAGAGCTGTCATGGAACACCATGAGAGCGCGCCCCCGCCTATACAGGTCAACCTGGTCAATGGGAAGGAGGATGTGTCTGTCAAGGTAGAGTTAATGTTCCCTTTCTTTCTATTTTATTCCCCTTTCGTATGGTTCAACTTCGTTTTCATCAAGGTAATGCATCATCAGGTCCCGGGAAGAGCCTGGATGCGGGCAGCGCAGGACCGTGCATTGTGGAAAACCATGGGGGAGGCCTTTGTCCAGCAGTGGACGTGTTTTGGCTGAAACGAATGAATGAACGAATGCATCATCAGGTCATTTAGTCTCCACTGCAGGAGCAAGAATCTCTTATTTACCAATAGCATTTATGTGACGTTCAAGGTCGGTCAGTCTGGAAGACCCTTTTCATCTTAAACCTTGTAGCCTGGGGGCCTCGTATCATCGAAACGGCGGTAGCTACGCCCCCGAGTATCATTCATCATATCATTTCGCCCTTCACATTCTACCTAAAGTGAGGATTTTGGGGTCTCCGGTATTCTTGCGGGCTCCGGTTTGGTGTGAAGTAAACATCTAGCCTAGGTGTCGGTTTCTGGCGAATCTGCCGGTCTCCCAAGAATAGGTTGAGGGCTAAGGGCCCGATGTTCCCGTTTAGAGCCAAAAAAGGTCCGTCTTAGTGGAAAAAGGTTCAGAGATGGACGTTCGCTGTCCAACTAATTAAACTTAATTAAAGAGACAGAAACTGTCTCATATTATCTGATATGCCAGTGGCAGTATTAGATAGACCAGGGGTGGCCAACTTGATTAGACATAAGATCTACTGTTTACTAACGAAACCCTGGGTGATCTACCACTTACATACTTCTTGAAATCTTAAATGAAACAGCACAGTTTAGTACACAATCATGTAGTATTTTTTGCATTTTTGCCATCGACCGGTTGGCCACCCCTGAGATAGACGAATCCGTTTTAATGTGAAGTATCCTAAATTCCTAAGTTTCTCACTATTACATTATCACTTACAAATACCTACCTGTATTTAAACCCATCATTTCTCTTCCCAGCTGTCCGACCGCGGCGGCGGCATTCCTCGCAGCGTGACGGACTACCTATTCAAGTACATGTACAGCACCGCGCCTCAGCCGTCCAAGTCCGACTCGCATACCGTACCGCTGGCCGGTGAGTTGCACTTATCTTTCTGCGGATACTTGAGATGGAATCTGGATTGCTAGAATCAATGGCAATCTAAATAGGTCCTTTAACTGTCAATGTTTAATTAAATTACGATCAAATGTCGTTAATTTTCGGTTCTTTTATGTTTAAACCAGTGGTTCCCAAAGTTGTCTGGGCTTTTACGACTCGTCTAATACAAGTTCCTAAACTCGGGACCCACCTATAGGAAATTTAACCGTTACCAATATGCCTAAATAAAGGACTTCGCTCTGTAGGGTGGTGTGTCGTTCTACAGGCAGGGCCCACTCAATGTTCGCTCGCGACCCACAGTTTGGGAAACTCTGGTTTAAACAATATGAAAATGTAAAAGAACCGAAAATTACTCATATTTCATTGAAAACGGAAATTTGATAGTTGACGGACGGATTTGCATTGGGATGGACTAAAGCAATTCGGTGGTAGTGTGTGCATAGTGTAAGACGGGCTCCACACATTGGTCCAAAAGTTGGTGCCAATACTATTTTCTAGATCCACACATAGCTACGTATCCTAGGACAAGTGGCGTCAGAACCAACATTGGAGTCAACGTGTGGAATTGGCCTTCATTGAAAGAACCCGAAGGCTTAATTTCATTCACTGACTCTTTCAAATTAATGTGTATTTATTAATTAATCGAAATAACTTTCAGGTTACGGTTACGGCCTGCCCATTTCGCGGCTGTACGCGCGTTATTTCCACGGCGACCTGGTGCTGATGTCGTGCGAGGGATACGGGACCGACGCCGTCATATATCTGAAGGTAAATCTTGTTTATTTAGATTCATATTATTGTTCGACCAATGACAGGACGCGCGACCAGTGACAGGACGCTTGACCAAGGCCAGAACGTGCGACTAATGACAGGACGCGCGACCAGTGACAGGACGCGCGACCAATAACAGGACGCGCGACCAATGACAGGACGCGCGACCAATGACAGGACGCGCGACCAATGACAGGACGTGCGACCAATGACAGGACAGGCGACCAATGACAGGACGTGCGACCAATGACAGGACGTGCGACCAGTGACAGGACGTGCTACCAATGACAGGAAGCGCGACCAATGACATGACAGAACGTGCGACCAATGAGAGGATAATGTACCGCAAATTTTGATCAACTTTTCAACATAGTTAAAATATTTGTACAAATATTTGCAAGTTGGACACACATAGTTTTAGCGCATCTTTACAAATATCATCACACCCTCATTTTTCCCCAGGCCCTATCGAACGAAGCGAACGAGCTCCTGCCGATCTTCAACCGGACATCTACGAAGTTCTACCGGCCGGTTGTCCAGTTGGCCGACTGGTCCGGCTCCCTAAATACGGCCGGCGCTCCCCCCAAAAGCCGGGAGAAGGTGTCCCCACTCTCCTCGCCTGTGTCGAACAGCCTATAGTCCGAGTGAGGCCAGAAGTGAAGTGAAGTGACGCCAAGTCACTAGAAGTGAAGTGAAGTGACGCCGAGTCACTAGAAGTGAAGTGAAGCCAGTGTGTGATTTGAGACTTTAGTGCGACAAAAGTGAGAAAGAGAAAAGAAGCTCTGGTAATTTAGACTATATATCGTTTCATCCACTCGGACGCGCCCCAGCAATGTTTGGTCTCGGTCGCGCGGGGTGCGGGGAGTGTGGTCCGAGCAATCCGTAAGGCATTACTGTAGTGTGCGTATGCACTCATGGAGCATTTAGCGTGTACCGATAACACTCAAACATTAGCGGAAGAATGGTGGGGCGCGTCTTCGTGGATGAAACGATCTATAGTGTAAAAATTGTGTGACATCTTAGTGAGAAAGAGATGAATATACAAATATTTGAAAAGTGAACACTGCATTGGCTCTTTCACACAATATTTAGTGTGAGAATGATGGCATACCAGATAATAGAAATTTTAAGTTTCTTTATTAATGATACCAGTGGTAAATATTAAGGTAACTCAATGATTGTTAGTTTAAAAGAAGTGGGTTTCTTCCTCTCTTTCTCACATCATAAAGTGTGAATGAGAGAAGTGAAGTAGTAGACATAAAAACTAGATAGAGGTGAAGCTATACATATGTATGTACACCTTTCATCTCTTACAGATCGAATGTTGTATACAATAGTTTTCTCCTTCACACGTATACTAGTTCGTATACTTAGAAAGAGATGCCAATGCAATCGTCTTTATTATAGGTCTATAGTCTGGTCCGTGAGCATGTAGAATTTTGTCCAATGACCCCAAGCTACCCATCTTTATCGCTCGCGCGTAATTGTGTTGCTGTCGCGCTCGCACACTCACTGCGGGCGCCCGTCGCAGTCGCGACAGCATTAAAATTACGCGCGAGCGATAAGGATGGGTAGCTAGGGGTCATTGGACAAAATTTTCGTGCTCACGGACCGGGCTTTAGCACATAACGGAGTCGGTGGTTTAGGTATGAGTTTTTGTGACGTCAAATGTCAACGAGACTTCAGATGTGCTTGGGACTTGTATGTTCTGTCACATCATACGTCACCCCTCTCGTACCTATTTCAGGCATTGACTCAGTTACAGGGTTCGAAAGGATAATTATCATGATAATAACAGATGGATAATATTATCGGTTGATTATAACAAAAAAATGCGCTCGTATTCGAAGTTTTCGACCGTGTATTTACGCACTTGAGTCTAATGGTGGGCGATAATAAACAATAGATAGTTATAAAACCTATCTACTTAAGTCCACAATGATCACTAGTTATCTAGCGTCAAAATAATTATCTATTTTCCAAGCTTTATGCGACTAGCGATGGATAACTTGACAACAAACAGCAACCAAAAACTTAAAATAACATTAGCAATCAGAATTTCTTATGTAACAATATGACAAATGTATCTTATACTATTGATAATTATCGGATAATTATCATGAAGCGTAATTATCTTGATAATTTCGAACCCTGCTCAGTTATGTGCGGACCTGCAGATGTGTAAATTTTTATTTGATTTCTTTTATTGATGTGATATTTAGGCATTAAGGTTGAGATTCGCCAAATTTGGACTGATAGTGTTGGTGAGGATTTCATAGTTTTGAAAATCAATTTGAAGTAGTTCAGAATAAAAGCTGCGGGCGGAAAGCTAGTTATGGAAATTTACTTACGGTTTTTAAAACTATGAAAGTACTCTGGGCGATGATATTAAAGTACTCTACTAAATTTTAAGGGAAATATCATATTTTGTAAGTTGTAGCAGCAGCGATATTGAAGTTGGACTGTCGACGCCTCTTTTAGACAGACACGGTGCTGGCAACCTCGTGATCCCGGCGGTCCCTTTAAAAGAACCAAATTCTCACACCCGTTTTCATAAACATTATTATGAGGTCTCACAGTGCGCGTGGACGCACAGGGTGACATATAAATGGGTGTCAAAGTCGTTCCGTTCGCGTTTGAACATTCGAAAATGAATCTATTAGGTGTAACCGAAGGTCCTTTCCAGTGATCTAAAACTTCGCGCCAAATGGTAATTGAATTGTTTTATCTATGGCTTGAAAGAGTTTCGTGTGTATCCGAACGAGCTTCGATTCCTGAATGCACTGACAGAAGGATGAGATAGATCATCATCATTTCAGCCACAGGACGTCCACTGCTGAACATAGACCTCCCCCAGTGATTTCCATATTGCTCGGTTACCAAGCGGCCTGCATTCAGCGCCTTCCTGTTACCTATTACTTAGAGATACCCCCCCAGAAAGGTCTGGTGCCAGGCCCTAAAAATAACCCTAGATACGCCAATGGCGCCGTATCTGTGTACAAAAGGCGTAATAATTGTGTGTATTTGTAAGTGTACAATATGTACTTGATTTGTATGTGTACTCTATTAAACCAGTAGCGTTAAGATAACCAGAACGAAATAGTCTTTTGTTTGGCTTCAAGAAGATATTTTTTTAGAATTGTAATATTCTATCTATCGATTTATCTTAAAATGTCTTCTATTTCTAAAATAAATGTATTCTTTTCTCTAAGCACAAATACTTATGTGGCGAAAAACATAAAAGTATAGAAAAAAGTATCTCACATTATCTATTAATATGTAGGTATGTGTAATAATATCATTTTATATGTAACTTAAAATAAATACTAACTTGTGTCTAGACTAGCTTAATAATCAAAATAATTACAAATAGTCTAGCAAAAATATTATATTTTGATATTTTCAATGACCAATATCTTTTAACATAATTAATGAACGAATAGTCATTTGTATGTATATGTTACGGTCAAAGTGATAAATGTGAAAATTATGAATAATCGCCGGTTATTATGAATAATTACCGCACGATTTGGTTAATGTGATTAATATAAGGTCATTTGTGTGTGTATAAAACTAAATAGGCGGCTTAGGGGTGGCCCAAGGGCCACCCCCGCCGCACCTTAACCTATTTTTCACTTTAAATCAAAACATTATGTTATAGGCATCATGGAAAAGTAATATTATGCAAGAAACATTCCAAACTCATTATGCCAAATTATATTAATATATGATATCAAAACCTTCAAAAGTTTGGCTGTACACTTGCACGTACACAAGATGTGGTTCTCTTTCATGAAATTTGTTAGTACTAAGGTTGAATTATTAAATAATCACTGTTAAATGTGATTAATTTATCACTTTTACCGCGACTGTCGGTGATTATTCATAATAACCGGTTATTATTAATAATTTTCAATTTATCACATTAACCGTAACATATATTTTGCTTTATAATATACACAAATAAATGTATACATAAATAAATAAATTTTGATTCATGACAATATTTTTTAACTTTTAATGAATTCAGTTTTGCCAAAAGAAATTCAACCTTATGTGTGTAATATTTGTGCTTGGATCGTTTAACTCTGACAATATATTTGGTTGTATGCCAATGAAATAATAATATATTTTAAGTGTTACTGAGTACAATCAAATTATGTAATTGTGACATAATTGCAGATGGTCAGACATGTTTCTTTTGGAGTGAGATTTGTACAATAACTAGAGCGTTGGCCTAAAAAATAGGAAAACAAAAACTGTAAATTTTGCCTAACGTGCAATCGACAAAATACGAATATTCGCAATTGTTTTTGCAATATAAGATACAAAGTATACAGGGTGTTAGGTAAATGAGTATATGAGCCGACACTAGCCCTTGTTAACATGGTCATATAAATGGTATTGTAAAGTCAGAAATTTGATATCATCATTTTAATTTTTTTAATTTTCATACAAAATTAATTTTATAAAATCCGATTTGTATGAAAAACAAAATAATTAAAATGAAGATATAAATTTTCTGACTTCACCATACCATTTATATGACCATGTTAACATGGGCTAGTGTCGGCTCATATACCCATTTACCTAACACCCCGTAGGTCTAGCGCTTAACTGAGTCAGTGCCTGAGGTATGGGAGCGGCACCGGAGGATATTTTCGTGACGGTCAAACGTCAGCGAGACTTCAGATCGCCTTGATTTGAAAGAAAGAAAGAAAGAAAGAAAGAAAAACATTTATTTGGTTCCAACTTAAAATATAGCACACAAAATCAGATAACAAAAAAACAGATAACAGATACAAGTTAGAACCAAATCTGGCCACCGCTCAGCATGTGTCATGCTCTGGAGTGGTAAATAAAACCCAGAACACGACGCTGTTATTCTGCGGTGACCATTTTTGGAGAGAGCTGGGCAAACATGAGACAATACACAAAAACAAACAAAAGAGAAAAAACAAAATAAAAAAATACAATATTAAAAGAAAGAAAAAAAAAAGTAAATGGATTTAGCTCTGTCACGTCATAAATGTTAATGTCACCCCTCCCGTACCGCTCCCATACCTCGGGCACTGACTCTTAAGCGCTATGTGATATTTTTATAGTCTAGTCTGCGAGCACGTAGAATTTTGTCCAATGACCCCAAGCTACCCATCCTTATCGCTCGCGCGTAATTATGTTGCTGTCGCGCTCGCACACTCACTGCGGGCGCCTGCGGGTAGCTTGGGGTCATTGAACAAAATTCTACGTGCTCACAGACCGGACTTTAGCAGGAGGCAGCACATTATTTGTTTTAAAATAGTTATTGTACAACATCTTTAGGGTTTGTTCATAATGCCAACGTACATTATTGTACCTGTTACGATGCAAGTTTTCTAAAGTTAATCTTATTTACTTACTTGCATTTCTATTTCGTTGTGTAAGTTTATTCCAAAATCGTTTATTAGTGTTTACATGTAGAAATGTTTTAGAAGACAAATTATTTAATTTTTACAATAAATTATTGAAGTGACTGTGGTTTTTGATTTGTTTATTTACCATTTTAACCCTTTATACCCTCGTAAGACCGTCGGTCCCTTTATAAGAACCAAATTCTCAGTCGTTCAGTGGGAACAATGAACAATTTTGAAAGTCACGATAGCCGAACGGTGAAGGGGTCGGACTGGCCGACTCGTGATCCGAGGAACATGGGTTCGAGTCCCGCCGCGCCACTCCGCCCGACTATTGTGGTGAACCCACGATTGTGAGACAATAAAGACAAACAGCTGTTTGTCTCTCTCTAACTTACGTATGTGACGTATGAAAAAAGAGATAATGTTTGGTCTATCTATACTCATTCTGGCAACATTTTAATGTGACGTCACCAAATATCTTACGCGTGTTCGGTACATACTTGCGCAGAGAAAAATATGCACGATTTGGGAAACACGATCATGTCCGTCAGTATTGAGTATAAGGGTATTTCGCCGAAACAGTAAATTTTCTGTGTCCAGGCAGGCGAACACATGTTTTTTTATATCTATCTGTATTAAACTATTTTTATGGGAAAGTTCATCAAAAGTTTTATTTGTTTTTGCTACTACAATAGCAGAAACTACAAATAATACCGTAGAAAAACGTAATCAAAAGTCGTTTTTCTAATTTCCTTGTTATGTCCATTACTGTTGTTTGCCAAAATGAAGGCTCATTATAACAAATTGAAGCGTAATTTAATTCTAATAGCACTCTCTTTACATTTGAGAAACGTTTGGCTATCGGAAAATAAAAACTTTAATACGTATAGGAAGAAAATAAAGTGAAGTTAAGTTCTTGTCCAGGTCAAAAGTATAATTTCCCTGGGTCTTCGTTTCGACCATTGTTGTAACGAAACGAAAAAACGTAGAATGTAACGCACTGCACCAGCTAGAGATGGGTTTCCACCCGGGTAAAAACCCACATGAGGGTAAAAACCCAATAAAAACCCGTTTCATTCCACCCGTGGGTGTTTACACCGGGTGAAAACAAATAATTTTATAATTATTTCAATTGGTATCTTTTCTTTATTTTTATTGAATTTTTCTCATTTAAGTTTATTGATTAATAAGTAATAAGTCAAATTTAACACTAATTCAAAAGTATAATTTCCCTGGGTCTTCGTTTCGACCATTGTTGTAACGAAACGAAAAAACTTAGAATGTAACGCTATGCACCACTACACTCGGCCATTTCGTCCCAAGAGGCCATTGAGGCAGGACAGTACGTCGTTGATCAGTTTTGCGACAAATCGCATAAATAGGTCCCTCCTTGGGTTTTTGTTTACTAAAAAGTAAATTTCTTTGGATGGTTTTTTGCAGCTAAACAATGGATTAATTTTATTGTTTATTTACACAAATGTAGTGTCTGTAGGGGTAAACCCATGATTTAAATGGTAAATGCATAGGGTAAATAGGTTTTTGTCTGTGGTGTCTTTTAGGCATAAATCTAATTTCTTTGGTCCTAATTTCCTTGTTTTCCGTGGCATAAAATGACCTAGGAAATTATAAAAGACATTAATAATTCGGCGTAAAGTCAAATTTTGAGTATTTCTTTATTGGAATAAGTTTAAAATTTACATTTTAAGAAATAGGTATCAGAATAGATATAGAAAAACTTGTTTTTAACTCTTAACTCAATCTACTGCATTTATCTTCCTTAGTTGTGTAAAAAGGTCGTAATGATATAATATTCATTAGCATGTTTGCTTGCGAAAGTACACAAAAATGGGTCGAACAAAAAAAAAGCAAACCACAGAAGAAAACTTAGAGAAAAAAATATTTATAATAATTTCCTTGGCTACCAAAAATTTATGACCTCATAACTTTGTTTCCAAAACGAATTATGACACCCCTTTTAGATATATTAGCTTAGTTTTTACTACTTAATGCAATGGGAAACAAAAAATAGTTAAAAACAAAAATAAAATTCGTGCCAAGGAAATTAGGCAAAATTGACCATTTTTGGCGAAATACCCATAATGCAGCCATGTTCTTTTCCCAAATCGTGTATGTACCAAGCACGTTTAGTTGATAGGTATGCCCGGTCCATAGTTTACACATCAATGACTACAATCATGCACTGCACATATTGATGCGACTAAAGTTGTATAGCTAATTTTCTTGTTTAATTTTATTTCACTTTTATTTTAGGCATTTTTACAAAGTTTTTCGATTCTACTTTTTTCAATATTTTTATGAACGTACTATAAAAACAATATTTCAAATTTTGAGAAACGGAACGCAGATAAAATTTTACTCTACCAAATTGAGAAGTTCACATTGTGTTTGTAGTTTAGTCATTTCATGTGTGTTTTTTATTTAGTTTGGTATTAATTACCTGTACCCTGTCATCCTGTGCTGTCATCACTGTCATCAGTGTCATCATTCATCTGTCATTTCCTTGGAATGCCAGGTGGAATTTTAGGTTATTCCGTGAATATTGTTATAAATAATTACTAATTCCTCGGAAAGTTTACATTTAACGGTGCGCCATGAAGATCTACACCAACGAGAATAATACCTCCACGCTAAAGCTGCTCATAGCGGCTAATTTAGCTGGGAAAAAAGTGGAGTTGAAGAGTGCGACTTTCGGAGGTAGTTTTCCTTTTATTTTTGCATTAAATTCATTTCGATTACATTTAATAGGCTCTTTGCATACTAATTTACAATTAAATCTTCTGATTCACAAGCATATTTCATCGCAAATAAGTCATATTAATAGTTTAAATTCCAATAAGATTTTAAGCTCGTTGTTATTATTGCATCATTTTTTGCATGTGTGGCTGCATTAGCATGCATTTCCTTTTTCCTCTAAAGAAACTATACATTTAGTTTGTGAAATCCGTCCTAATATCCTGTATTTAGTACCTATTGATGATTATAAGTTCAAGTAGTTTAAAAACACAAATAAACATGATTATTTGTATTGACCGAGTGAGATAATTTACTGAAATACCCCTCCTTATGAACACAAAAAAAAAAACAAGTCAAAACATCTGATTATTACCCAAGTTGACTGCAGATAATGAGAAAAAAAAATTGTACTGAAGATGCAAAAGTTCACAGTAGTAAGGAAGGATAAAATGTAGTTTCTATTAATTACTACTTGTTTCTCAATAGTAGATTTCCCTATGCCTCATACAAATTCTTTTATATTTACTGCCATATGTATAAGGATAAGGATTAATGCTCTCTGTATGATCATAACATATACTTTGTACTAATGTATCATGCCTAAGTCTGTGAGGGAAACCATCCTACTAATATTATAAATGCAAAAGTTTGGATGTTTGTTATTCTTTCACGCAAAAACTACTGAACGGATTTTTTGGAACTTTACAGTATTATTGTTTGAAACCCAGATTAACATATAGGCTATAATTTATGTTGATCTGTGACACAAAATTTCACACGGGTGAAGCCGCGGGCAAAAGCTAGTCAATAATAATTACAGATGATGGCACATCAAGTCAAACAATGTAGTATCTAATGTCTGCTACATAGGCACTATTATGCAACTAAAATGCATGTCCTGATGTTCACTGTACAAGGAAAAATACTGTGCATCTAAATGCATCTAGTCTAGGCAGCTAATTACAAATAACTGACTTGTTATTGAAGGAAACAAGATTTTCTGTCCTATAAATGTCACAATGATGTACATCAAGTATGACTTATGATTTCTAAAGCTATTTACACAATAAGATACAGGATTAGCTAGTTTGGGGGCTATTAGAAAGCTGTAATATGTTGTAATTTTGGTAATGAAGGTTTTTATTTCTTACTAGTGGCCGCTCGCGTCTTCGTACGCGTGGTCCCCGTTTTACCCCCTTAGGGATGAAGTTTCGAGGTTTTTTTACCGTTTTCCCGGAAATTATTGGAACTTTTCTCGCCGTAAAAACATCTTTGGACTTCAACGAACATTTAAAATAAGAATTGGTAAAAATTGGTCCAGACATTGTTGAGTTATGTGCTTACCAACTTTTGCGATTCATTTTTATATTATAGATTTGTGCTTGACTGTCCTGAAGCAGAGACAATTTATTGATTGCATGACATGATAAACATATGCATTTGTCGTCCAATATCATCTATAAAATTTTATTCAGCACCGCTTAATCAAATTCGAATCGTTTATTGCATGTCACATTACAATTATAGTGGTTCTACAAAATAGAGGTAGGTATACATGTGACACTTACTAACCCCATCCGCTTGTTTAACCTGGGATAAGGCACTGACGTTCCGTCTGTGATTGCAGACGATGTATTCGCAGGCCCGCGCCAGCTGCCGCTGTTAGAAGTGGACGATCAGCTCACGTTCTTCTCCAGTAATGCGGCCAGCCAGTTCCTGTTTCCCGTGCTGGATCTCTCGGAGAACGGACAGTGGTGAGTCTTTAAAAGCTATTGACATATTTTAAGAAATCTTTGTGAACTGAAAGCAAATGGTCTCAAACATGTAGAAGTCACTGCACATCTCCTCTCCCCACTTCTCCGCTCCGCTTTAATCCGCTCCATATCGCTCCGCTCTGCTCCGCAAACGGACGTACAGGATCTAAGGGGATCAGTTTTAAACAAGCCTCAGACGAGAATAAATCCCCTCATGTCTTCGCTCCGCTTCATTTTGCTCCGCTGCGCTCATTCAGCTCCGCAAATGGGTGTACAGGACCCAGAGATCGCAGTCTGAGATGGAGGGGTCCTTTTTTGGCAGGATCCCCTACTCTTAGATACTTAAAACAAATCATTAGGTACGAGACCTAAAGGGGGCAGTCTTGATGCAGGGGGCGGGGGTCTAATCCGATTTTAAGCAGGATGCCCCACTTTTAGATACTTAAGTATGAATCATAAGGTAAGTATGTACCTTAGGGGCTTAATGATTCCCAGTGGCAGCAGCTGCCCATGGCATATCACGTCTCGTCCACGCTGCGTGGAAAACCGCCATAACAACTTTCTTTCATCAGTCAGTCTATGACAATTGTGTAAGAAAGCCTCTTGTCCCAGCCCCAGAGACCGCGGGTTCGACTCCCAGCGGATGTGATTTTTGTGGAACTTCACCTGGAATGAATGATGATGATGACTAAAGCCTGGTCCGTGAGCACGTAGAATCCCGTCCAATGACCCCAAGCTACCCATCCTTATCGCTCGCGCGTAATTATATTGCTGTCGCGACTGTGCGACGCGCGCCCGCAGTGAGTGTGCGAGCGATCAGGCTTTACCTTTCTTATTCTAATTTACCTTTCTGTATCTTCAGCCAACAGATGCAAGAGTGGGAAGCGACGCGTCTGCAGCCCTCAGTGGCAGCAGTCCTCTCATCAAAAGTCCCTCCCTCCGACGTGAAGCAAGCACTTCAAGCAAACCTAACCGTCGTGGACTCACTGTTGGGGACTAACAAGTTTATATTAGGGGTGAGTAGATTTGCAACAATAAGCCTAGACCTAGTTGGGTCGGGCTGTTAAACATTATGGACGTGTATGAAAGTGCGCACATTACATCGATTTGGTATTAGCCGATTCTTCGTACAAATTAGAATCGGGCTCGACTGTCGCCCGGCAAGCGAAAGGTCATGGGTCCGATTCCCGCCTTAGGCAGTTAGATTTTTTCATCATTCATCAACATCATCATTTCAGTCATAGAACGTCCACTGCTGAACATAGGCCTCCCCCAATGATTTCCATACTGACCGGTTGGCAGCGGCCTGTATCCAGCGCCTTCCTGCTACCTTTATGAAGTCGTCGGTCCGCCTTATATGGACCTCCTACACTGCACTTTCTACTACTGGAAGCATACTTTCTCTAAATGAATAAGACTAGATTTATGGTGGCAACATAGTCCTGTAAATTACACTTAATTTCAATAAGATCTTTTGTTTTGACTTATGAAAAATCTAAAAAATCTTGACATTTTCCATTACCAGGCACGAATTTGAGTCTGATACGCTATTCAAGACCGATTTTTGAATATTTTCAACTCCTAGATCATTTCAGCCATACGATGCAGCGCAATATACGCCTTAAGCATACTAACAATAAAGATCATTGTTCCAGAACAAGCTATCAGCAGCGGACATCTCAATATGGAGCACTTTATACCCTCTGTGCTACAACACCGAACTGAAGCAGTACACAGCGGAGTTTAAGCACATAGCGCGGTGGGCGGAAGAATTGGCGGCGGCGAAGGCGATACAGGTAGGTCGTACTTACTCTCAGATGAAGGAATAAAAGAGACAAAATATAACCTATCTCCAAATCAAATTTTTAATGGCGAAACATATGCACTACTAAAATCTGTAACATCTACATATACCTACTATACACTATACATATACCATGTTTTAGTAAAATAAAATTTCTGATTCTGATATCACCAAATCAAGCGTGGGGCATGTAGGCCAAATAAAATAAAATAAAAAATATGTTTTTACCAGAAAATGCAGTCGATATTTTGGTTTATTAACAATTTAATGTTTGAGACTATGTTAGTAAGGTTGTTGTAACAAATCATTCATTTGCCTCTGATAAATTAGAATTAGAGTTATTCTCCTGCAGGGGAGACCAAATAACTTGATTTCTTGATGAGTCTTTTTTCGTCTATCTTACGTCTTAATCTTTTCATCACATCATTTCTTTTTAACACGATCCTTTTAGAACAGACTGTTTATGGACTATTACAATAATCTAGCTATAAAAGCGAAAAGTCACTGATTGACTAACTCAATCATCACGAAATCTCACTAAGACAGAATTTTGAAAAATTCAACCCCTAAGGGGGTAAAACGAGATCCACGCGTACGAATTTGCGGGCGGCCGCTAAGTTACCTATATTTTGTTATTACAGGAAGCGTTAAAACAATGGAATGGTTCTCCCAACGGGCCTTTCGGCGCATCATCAGCGTTGGGGGCGCCGCAACTGGCCAGCCTGTTGTCTCCTGTGGGGTAAGTGACTAGAACCACGGCCGTCTTTAACCTACTTGGTAGGTACTCCTTCTATGTTCTTCTGATTAATTTCGTTGCGGGTCCAATGACAGTTTAACTGTCCCCCGGGACAAGCTTGCCTTCATTGGATGGGTTCTTAAGCTGTAGTGGTAGGAAATAGTCCCGCCTGTAGGGGCCATGGGCAATTAAAGGTCAAGGGGACCGTTTTAGTCTGAAAAAAAAAGGAATTCCAAAATTATAGTATTTTTTAGTGATTACTTACAACTTTTATACCTTGAGTACTAGAGATTTGCCACTCCTGATTATTGTCTTTCTAGTTTTTATTTTATGTTAATTTCAAGTTACATCTTGGGATTTTAAATAAGTTACAGTCAAGCTACTTCCAGGTCACCCCACTATCCCGAGTACCTGTTTTTTGTTTAATTGTCTCATTCACATAGTTTATATGCCATGTGGTTATGTCAGAGTAGAATATGACCACTTCCACAGAAATCGTGCATTCTAAAGCATAACATTTCTAAAATAACACATAACAACACAATTAGTTTTGAAATTTAAAAGTTTGCGTTAGAAACATATGAAGTTTATGTAAGATTACCGTGTATTTATACAGTACATTTCTGGTTATCTCCAGGTCACCAGAAGAAGTAGAGACAGGCCCAACGGCGGATGAGATCGAAGCGGCCAAAGAGAACTGGCTGAATGGACACAAGAATCTGCAGCCAGCACTCAAGGAAGAAAAAGTCGTGTAAGTTGACAATCAGAAATATTTATTTGCTTTTTACCCGACTGCGTCAGAAGGAGGGTTATGTTTTTCGAGTGTATGTATGTATGTATATTTCTTTGGTACGGCCTGCAGCCTAAACGGCTTGACCGATTTTAGCGTGAGAGGTGTCGTTAGATTCGTCCTAATCGTGAGAGTGACACTGGCTATATTAAAATTGAAAAAAAAGAATCAAAATGGAGGATTGTAGGCGCCATAATGTCTTTAAAAAATATATTTTTTTCTCAAACCTTATTGATTGGGGTATCAAAATAAAGGGCTTTTAAGTGATTTAACTAAAAAGATTAAAATAAAATTACTATTGAATAAACAAAAAACCGAACTGCGTAAAAATGAACACTTTTTTTACATGAAATGATTGGACGTAGCACACTTTTCAACCCGGAAAGTTTCGTAACCCTATCAACTCGAGGCGGTCAGTGTTCTATGTATGGAAGTCCATACTGCAACGCACACTTATCCGCACCGTAACGTAAACGCCTCGCCTCACGGTTGACGGCGCGCGAAAGGCGATACGGTGTTGATCCCTTTCCGAGGTGATAAGTCTGCTATGACCTTTATGATGCTAAGTCACAATTTTTTAAAGATTTCATTATATACCCCAAAATCTAAATCGTTTGTGAAATTAAATTTTGAAATCAGTAAATTTTCAATTGAGTTAAGGACCTTGCTATACAAATTTTTGTCTCGTTCTCTCTCGAAAATCTCGTTTTGACAGCTCAAAAAAGTACTTGGGGGCATTGTAGTGATATGCCAAGACGAGACAATGGAAGCGCAAGGCACTGCTATTTCTCACAGTTTCTTTAAATTTTAGGTCTGGCTAAAATCCAAATTCCTATGTAATTCGTGGGTAAACCCTGGTCCTTCTTATACAAATAAATAAAATTATATCCACGTGTAAATCAAATTTCGTGTATTTGTTTCAGATTGCCAGTAAAAGGACGCAAGAACATCCTCATCACCTCCGCGTTGCCATACGTAAATAACGTTCCGCATTTAGGCAACATTATTGGCTGTGTGCTCTCTGCAGACATATTTGCTAGGTCAGTACGCACATAGTAACAAAGCCCACGCGTGGGCATGAAGTTTCAATGTGTTTAACCACTAAGGAGTGTTAATTACTTAAAAATAATTTTATTTTCCAGATATTGTCGATTATGTGACTACAACACCCTGTATATTTGTGGAACGGACGAATACGGTACGGCTACTGAAACTAAGGTAATAATAATATGATGGTTAACACATTATCAATTGACATGCTTTTTATACTATACACTAGATAAATTTTAGCGATCCGAATACTCGCTTTTTTCAACTGAACTGTACTGCAATCCGTACACCTTACTTTGACGTTTTAATCGCGTGTAAACTATACTCTGTAAGCGATCAAGAGCTCCATCTTTTAATAGTTTGGTTAGACGACAGAACTAATGTTTTGACGCTGCAGCGAACTTTAGTTTTAATTCTCCCCAAAATGGAGTAGAGCAAGAAACTTGCTTACGATAGCTTCTCTATAAATATGTATAACTCAAAGGTGACTGACTGACACAGTGATCTATCAACGCACAGTCCAAACCACTGGACGGATCGGGCTGAAGTTTGGCATGCAGGTAGATGTTATGACGTAGGCATCCGCTAAGAAAGGATTTTACGAAACTCCACCCCTAAGGGGGTAAAACGGGATCCAGGCGTACGAAGTCGCGGACGGCCGCTAGTCCTTTATAAAGGACAATGACCAAAAGTGGTCCAAAATATATCCACCACCAATGAGACCTATATTGGCTTATAGTCCATTAAATAGAGAATAACTTTTAGTATGGGACGAAAAAAAAATAAGCTGTCAGTAAAAAGTTACGACAGTTTGAAAAATTGTAGTAGTTTACGCGCTAATCTCAGGAACTACTGGTCCTATTTGAAAAAATATTTTTGTCATGGATAGCCCATTTATCGAGGATGGTTTTAGGTTATTTAACATCACCCAATACAACCAATAGAAGCAGAGCAGTAAAGACAAATGTTGTAAAAATGGGAAATATTATTCAAACTATTTTCACGCGTACAAAGTCGTAGGCACAGCTAGTATAATATAATAATTTATCTATAACCCAGTACCAGTTGGAAAAAAGACTGTTTTTACCCCTTTCGCATATTCAAAGTATTCCAATATTGTTGTCTTTCTTCTGAGCTTTTTTTTTCTTTTAGCGAGAACCTAAGGCACACTAAGCAACATGACATAACATGCATATGTTACGGTCAAAGTGATAAATGTGAAAATTATGAATAATCGCCGGTTATTATGAATAATTACCGCATGATTTGGTAAATGTGATTAATATGAGATCATTTATGTGTGTATAAAACTAAATAGGCGGCTTAGGGGTGGCCCAAGGGCCACCTCCGCCGCACCTTAACCTATTTTTCAAGTTAAATCAAAACAATATGTTATGGGCTTTAAGGGCAAAGTAATGTTACGCAAGAAACAGTCCAAACTCATTATGCCAAATTATATTAATATATGATATCAAAACATTCAAAATGTGTGGCTGTACACAAGCACTACACATGAGCCATTGTTATTTTATGATATTTCATAGTACTAAGGTTACATTATTAAATAATCACTGATAAATGTAATTCATTTATTACTTTTACCTCAATTGTCGGTAATTATTCATAATAACCGGCGATTATTCATAATTTTCAATTTATCACATTTACCGTAACACATAGATTAGTCCAAAATGTGCGATGGATAGACTGATATCGAGAACATTTTTCAGATGAAAAGGTAAAAAACATGACTTTTCATTCAGTCATAACTTTTTACTGACAGCATATTTTTGATTGCGGTTTGGTTATAATGAATCAGTAATTCAGTATTTAATAGACTATTTTACTACATAGGTCTTGTTAGTGGTGGACATTTGGACCACACTCCAAACATTTTTGGTCATTGTCCTTTATGCTTATGGGTTAATCCGGTACTGTTCCAGGCGATAGAGGAAGGGCTGACTCCGCAGCAGATCTGCGACAAGTACTTCGAGATCCACAACGCGGTGTACCGCTGGTTCAACGTCGGCTTCGACTACTTCGGCCGGACCAGCACTAAGGAGCAGACTGAGTGAGTGTATATTTTATGTTCGGTCCTTGCCACACTGGCGGATTGCAAGTTTCATATGCAATCCACTAGTATGGCAAGGCCCTTACAGTCTAGGGGAGTACATGGGAGGGGAGGATTTTTTTTCACTGGAAATAGCCTACTTTTGGCCAAATCGGAGTTTATTAATTAATTGTTCCAAGCTTAACACAACTAAAATTTTAGTTTTTGAATGTTTCCCGCTAGGGGCGCTGTACAATCCGTCATACATTAAGAGTAGGCGCACACCGTTGATTTTTCGTCGGCCGATAGTTTAGTCGGGCAGTTGATCAGTATGGGCATGTATGGGAGTGCGCACACTACGCCGATTCGATTTGGCCGATTCTTCATACAATTTAAAATCGGGCACAACTATCGGCCAACTAAAAATCAACAGTGTGCGCCTACTCTAATCGGTCAATATCACTTATTGATTAGTGATGGGCCGACTATGGTCTTTGCCGACTAACCGACTAGCCGACTGATTATTGAAATTGCCGATTAGTCGGCCGACTAATCGCCCATGTCTACTTGTGATTGATTTTTCCTGTCAGAAGTAAGGTTCAAAATCGATTGAGTTTTAGTTTTATGGTCAGATTGACAGATTTTTTGCAGTTAAAAATGGTTTTGACTAATGCCCTCGATCAAAACCATATTTAACTGCAAAAAATAAATATACAGAAAAGACTAGTCAATCTGACCATCTTCTTCTTTTCGTGTCGACAACAAACCTACACAGTGTCAGCCCAAAACTCCGCCACAAGAGTGGCGTTGTCAGTAGCACTCATCAAATCTGACCATAAAACTAACATGCAATCGATTTTGAACCTTACTGTAAAGACATTATGAAACTTTTTAATTCTACATTAACAAAATAATTTGCTTATCCACAGAATCTCACAAAAGATGTTTTTGAAGCTGAAAGACAATGGATTCGTCAGCTCGCAATCCGTCGAGCAGTTGCTTTGCGAGAAATGCGACCGATTCCTGGCTGACAGGTATATTCTATACACTACATACGCTACAAAATATGTTTTAACTAAACAATTATCCCCTTAACCCTAACTTCGAACTCCTCCTATGTTCTTCTGATTAATTTCGTTGCGGGTCCAATGACAGTTTAACTTTCCCCCGGGACACACTTGACCTTCATTGGTTGGGTTTTTCTTAGCGGTCAAGCTGTAGATCCGCCGCTACACAGGAGTTGCAGCGGTGGGAACGAGAGGTGGGAGGGAATAGTCCCGTTAACCCTTTAACGGGCATATAATGAGTTTAATTTCTATTTTTGGATGCTGACTTTGAAATTAAATATTAATAAAGTATAAATTAGCACATAAATCGAACTATAATGTATTGCGCCCTGTTAACATACCGTCTAAACGGAAACGAAACAATAAAAGTACTTGACAAATACCTCTGTAAAAATCAGTATATTTGTTGCAATTCACGAAGGCGAGTGAGCTTTGCATGTGTGGTGGCTCGCTACTGTTCTTTGCTCGTTTTTGAAAGTTTTGACAGACATTACACATCATTATGTGCATGTACACGTACACATACAAGTAAAGCTCACTCGCCTTCGTGAGTTGCAAGAATTAGTAAACGTTCGTTCGTTTTCAGCCAAATGACGTCCACTGCTGAACAAAGGCCTCCCCCAAGGTTTTCCACAATTAACGGTCCTGCGCTGCCCGCATCCAGGCTCTTCCCGCGACCTTCACCAGATCGTCGGTCCACCTAGTAGGAGGCCTGCCATTAGTAAACGATATTTTATGAATTCTCACAGATTCGTAGAAGGCACGTGTCCGCACCCCGGCTGTTTATACGACAACGCTCGCGGCGATCAATGCGACAAGTGTGGGAAACTTATTAACGCGATCGAACTCATCTCACCACGGTAAGAACTTATGTCACCCTGGTAAGAACTTATGTCACCCTGGTAAGAACTTATGTCACACCGGTAAGAACTTATTTCAACCAGGTTTTAACTTGCTTCACCCCCGTAAGAACTGTTTATACGACAACGCTCGCGGCGATCAATGCGACAAGTGCGGGAAACTCATCAACGCGATCGAACTCATATCACCCCGGTAAGAACTTATGTCACCCTGGTAAGAACTTATTTCAACCAGGTTTTAACTTGCTTCACCCCCGTAAGAACTTATTCCGCTCAGGTAAGAACTGTGCTGTTTATACGACAACGCTCGCGGCGATCAATGCGACAAGTGCGGGAAACTCATCAACGCGATCGAACTCATATCACCCCGGTAAGAACTTATGTCACCCCAGTAAGAACTTATGTCACCCTGGTAAGAACTTATTTCACCCTAGTAGGAACTTGCTTCATCCTCGTAAGAACTGTGCTGTTTATACGACAACGCTCGCGGTGATCAATGCGACAAGTGTGGGAAATTCATCAACGCGATCGAACTCATCTCACCCCGGTAAGAATTTGTCTCACCCCGAAAGGCTGGTTTTAGTGTCACGCGGACCGTCCGGTGCGGACCCGCTCCGCACGGCCAATCTGTATGAACTTCTAGGGAGCGTTTTAGAGTAATGCGGTCCGGAGGAACCGCTCGCTCCCTAGCAGTTCATACAGATCGGCTGTGCGGAGCCATCCGCACTGACAGCAGCCAAAATAACTTGCTTCACTCCAGTAAGAACTTGCCTCACTCGGGTAAGAACTTGTCTCACCCCGGTAAGAACTTGTCTCGCCTCGATAAAACTCGCTGATTAGTACTAATTTCTCTCACCCCTATATGAATCTGGCAAATCCAGGTCAAAAGTCTAAAAACCTCGATCAAAACTGTCTCACCGAGTGTGTAAATTGTATTTTAAATTCATGTATAATACTTTTGTTGGCAGATGTAAAGTGTGCGGCCACACACCTACGGTAAAACCTAGCAGTCAGCTGTTTATTGAGTTGGGGCAGGTAAGAAAGACATTACGTTTAATAGTGTTGAAAATTATAATTATGCGTTTCTTTGTCTTTCTGTCTGTCTGTTACGTTTTCACGCTTAAAATACTTAACCGATTTAGATTAATTTAATAATTTGAGCCCCAGGGATACGATAGTGTGAATCCCGGTTTTTTCAAAGGACTCGCGCTATAATGTATTTTTGTGACAGATTGATATTTACGCGGGCAAAAGCTATCTGGAAATCATTGGGTGAGGCCTATGTTCAGCAGTGGACGTTCTTTGGCTGAAATGATGATATTATTTCAAAAAACTTGACCCTTATTGCTGGCGACAACTAAACACCTTCCCAAGAGGGTCCCATAGCAATGTACAGTCGCGGAATGAAAAGGTTCGTCACCTTAGTGTCGATTTTCGCTTGCACTAGGTACTGTAAGAGTCAGAGAGAGTAGTTGTACAGTCTTAGAATATTTCTGTATATATTGTGTACATAAATTGTAAAGATTGTACAGCTGTACATAAACTGGCGGAAGGCGCATAGGCGCCTGCTTAGAGTTGTCCTGTGGTAATAATAAGGTGGGTCCGCACAGCGGATTAACTGAGCATAGGTGGAACTCGGGTTAAGGTTCGCTACACCGGCAACTCCCCTATGCTCAGAAAGAAGGACACTGGTGGATTTTTAGTGGGTAGGCCCCTCCCGTCTGGAGGGGAGAGCCCCACATAACCCGTCGCCTGACCACAGCGGCGGGTATGCAGCTCAATGCATTTTTACCACCTAAAAAAAAAAAAAAAAAGTACTGTAAGAGTCAAACCTGCCAACATAACAGTCCAAGAAACATTGCTGCTAACATTTAAATAAACATGACGTTTGCTAACGAATGTTTTGCTTGTTTATTTTTCTATCCCGTCAGTGCAATGTTACAAAATGTAGTTTTTTTAATTTAATAGATAATGGCAGGTTGAACCAACAAGAAGGTTATCAATCATAATAATCTTCTTGACAAGTTAAATCGTCAAATAACTTTGATCTGAATAATTTTGAACTTTACTGACGAAAAGTTAAAGATTATTTTCTCTAACTCGAGATTATTCTGTAACATAGTTTCAAAAGGTAATAATATGTGCTCGCGATTCTTTGAAGGAATCAATTTGAAAACTGACGAACCTTTTCATTCCGTGACTGTACTTCGTTCGTTTCAACCAAATGACGTCCACTGCTGGATAAAGGCCTCCTCCAAAGATTTCTATAACGACCGGCCCTGCGCTGCCCGCATCCAGGCTCTTCCCGCGACCTTTACTAAATCGTCGGTCCACCTAATGGGAGGCCTGCCCATGCTACGTTTTCCGGCCCGTGGTCGCCACCTGAGAATTTTTCTGCCCCAACTTTAGCAACTAAAGTACGGCCAACTAGCAGCGATACAAAAGGTCGATTCGACTGTCGAACTGACAATCTATTCTGTCTCTTCCCATCTTGTGTATTTGTCGTAATGTCTCGTTCTCCCGCCAAAATATGTCAAAGTCAAACCCTTAGGCTGGGTTGCACCATCTTGCTTTAACTTTGACAAACGTCAAAAATCTGTCAAATTCCATACAAAAAGCACCGGTTATCGTCATTAGGCCAGTAGAATTAAACACAAAAATTGATTAAATCGGAAATAATTCCTACAAAAGATTTTTTTGCTTTAATGGCTTCATTGGTTGCCCATTAAGACTCTCCTAAGTTTTCGACTTCGACGGAGTTGTGCTTAAGTGGTGGGGGCCCCCGAAAGGGGCGTTTTTTCGGTTTTCCGGTTATACCGCGTAAAAGACTTACCCTATCGAAAAGTGGTCTTCATGACGGTTAAAGGGCACTTAATCCTGCATTGAATAAGACCAAATTCATATGTTTTGGACAAACCGTTCTCGCGCTAAAGTTCGGCAAAGTAGAAAATATACGTATAATTAATGACCCTCTCCACGTCCAATGGTTTGTTACCCACAGGCTTCCAAGTCTTGAAAAGGGCCACCTCAACCAGTGTAACCCTATCAAGGCTTACGAGCTTGATGCGCCTATCCTTGTTCGTCCCAGCCGTTCCTTAACTGCGGTTGCTGCACCTCTTCCTGGCACTCACCTGAACGACTCTGTGTTACCTACTGTGGCTGCCCCTCTTCCTTGTATCCTCCTGCATGACTACGTTGCCTAGCCGTATGCCTGGTCTAAGGTTCGACGCCAAAAATCAACAACAACAAGTTCATATTAAAACGCTGAAGAGTTTTTTGTTTGTTTGTTTGAACGCGCTAATCTTAAGAATTACTAGTTTGATTGAAATCATTATTTTTGTGTTGAATAGCTCATACATTGAGGAAGGCTATAGGATATATACAATCACTCTACGACTAATAGAGGCGAAGCAGTAAAGAAAAATGTTGCAAGCACGGGAAATAGTATTTAAACTATTTTCACTCGTACGAAGTTGATTTTGTGGCGTCGAACCTTGGACCAGGCATATGGCTAAGCAATGAAATCGTACAGGAGGGTACAAGGAAGAGGGGCAGCCACATTAGGTAACACAGAGTCGTTCAGGAGAGTGCCAGGAAGAGGTGCAGCAACCGCAGTTAAGGAACGGCTGGGACGAACAAGGATAAGCGAATCAAACTCGTGAGCCTTGTTAGGGTTACACTGGTTAAGGCGACCCTTTACAAGGCTTGGAAGCATGTGGGTAACAAGCCATTGGACGTGGAGAGGGTCATTAATTATACGTATATTTTCTACTTTGCCGAACTTTAGCGCGAGAACGGTTTGTCCAAAACATATGAATTTGGTCTTATTCAATGCAAGATTAAGTGCCCTTCAACCGTCATGAAGACCATTTTTGATAGGGTAAGTCCTTTACGCGGTATAACCGGAAAACCGAAAAAACGCCCCTTTCGGGGGCCCCCACCACTTAAGCACAACTCCGTCGAAGTCGAAAACTTAGGAGAGTCTTAATGGGCAACCAATGAAGCCATAAAAACAATAAAATCTTTTGTAGGAATTATTTCCGATTTAAAAGCTAATTCTACTGGACTACATAGTTACCGTTAAAGATAGGTGGACCAGTGCAACCTACCCCTACTATTCCAAATGACTATGACATTGGGTTTGTTTACATTTGGTATCGCTTCTCGTTGGCCGTACTTTACACTTACCTTTCTTACATTTCCAGCTGGAACCATCCCTCCGTACTTGGATAAGTGCCACCGAAGGCCAGTGGTCGCCGCCCGCGCGCGCGGTTTGCCGTGCGTGGTTGCGTGAACCACTACGAGCCAGGGCTGTCACCAGGGACTTGAAGTGGGGGGTGCCGGTGCCAGTTGAGGGGTTTACTAGCAAGGTACCTTTACTTTCTAGAACATTCTCCAAAGATCCTCTAGTTTCAAGGACTTGTTAAGGCTAAGTAGTTCAGCCGGATATCTAGAAATGGCGCTGTGAGGGTCACCAGGGATCTCAAATGGGGCGTGGCGGTTTACTAGCAAGGTAAGAAACTTGCAGGATGCTCCGCCTTGATTTGAGGAAGTAGTTCGGTCAGGTGAGGTGTCAAGAGATGGCACTGCAAAGCTGCTTTCTCATTAGAACATTCTTCGAGGATGCTTCCAGTTTGAGATTAACTAAGTTCTACAGCATGTTACCAACAGATGGCGCTGTATGACTGCTTTCTACTAAGAACATTATTTGAGGATGCTCCAGTTTGAGTAACTTGACTAAGTAGTAGTACAGCATGTCACCAAGAGATGGCGCTGTAAAGCTGCTTTTCTAATGCAGATTAAAATTTGTTCCTTGTGGTAAGAAACTGAGTAACTGGATTAGTAGTTCAACCAGCCACCAACAGATGGCGTTGTATCTTTATTGATATTTTACTGATACACCAAACCTGCGTTTTGGTGACAGGACAGTATTCTGTTGGGGTGAATGTTAGGTCGATCTATGGATTTGGGCTAAAGTGAGTGAAGGCCAGTGGTCGCCGCCCGCGCGCGCGGTTTGCCGTGCGTGGTTGCGTGAACCGCTACGAGCCAGGGCTGTCACCAGGGACTTGAAGTGGGGCGTGCCGGTGCCAGTTGAAGGGTTTACTAGCAAGGTAGGGGACACACGGGACTATTCCCACCTCTTGTTCCCACCGCTGCAACTCCTGTGTAGTCAGCTGCTACAGCTTGACCACCAATAAAACCTAACCAGTGAAGGTCAAGTTTGTCCCGGGGAAAATTAAACTGTCATTGGACCCGCAACGAAATTAATCAAATGAACATAGGTAGGTAAATAAGCCGCTGCGAGCTAGAGCTGTCATCAAGGACCTCAAGCGGAAGGTGCCGGTGCCAGTGGAAATGTAAGCTTTTCTATCAGATTCGTTATAGTGGCTTAGCCTGCTACCAACAGATGGCGCTGTAACTGTAACTTAACACGCGAACCTGCATCGCGGTGACATTATGTACAATCTTTTTTTGACAGATTTGAATAACGATTCGCCTCAGGTGAGAATTAGACCTACCTTTCGCTTGTCGTTAATGTTATATGTTTTTCCCAGGTGTTCTACGTGTGGTTCGACGCGCCGATCGGCTACCTCAGCATAACACAGAACGCGACACGACAATACGAGAAATGGTGGAAACCAGACAAGGAGTATGATGTGAGTTTGTTCCAAAAAGTTAATATACCTAGCGGAATAGAGCAACAAAGGACTGAGCGAGCGAGATGTCACTAGCAGCAACACTGTGCGATAGAAAGAGATGCATGATGCCAATATAAACCGTTTTTGTATTTGACAGTTCGTTAGCACTCATTGGCACGCTGAAAATTTGAGCTCTGAGATTTTTCAGATTTAAGTAAGTGAAATCGTGGATGTTTATGAGAAATAGTGCTTCAGAAACGTGGCGACTGGTTCAGGAATTGATTATTATTGTATAAACTGAAATAATCCTGAAAACTGACACACAAATGACATTCACGCCCGTATTCACAAACGATGCTTGCAAGTGAAGCAGCAAATCGAACGCACAGAATTGAATAGAGCTCTGTGATTGGTTCGTGTGAAACCTCATAGTAATGTTTGTAAATACGTTTTTGACTTTCATCATCATCATCAATATTTCAGCCACAGAATGTCCGCTGCTGAACATAGGCCTCCCCCAATGCTTTCCATGTTGATCGATTGGTAGCGACCTGCGTCCAGCGCTTCCCTGCTACCTTTATGATGTCATCGGTCCACCTTGTAGGTGGACGTCCCACGCTGCGTTTTCCGGATGTTTTTGACTTTACTAAATTAATATTTTTTGTTCGTTTTTAGGTGAAACTATACCAGTTCATGGCCAAAGACAACGTTCCGTTCCACACGATTATGTTCCCAGCGACACTGATGGGCATCAACGAAGGACACGTGCTGGTCAACCATTTGTTCGCGACAGGTTTGTGACATTTCACTTAACTATACTCTGAAGACTTTCTTTGACGTTAAATATTTTTGTTTCTTTTTTTGTAAACCCTGTTACTTTGTCAAAACTGTTTACGTGACATTGGCGAAATCATGGTTCTTAAAACCAAGCCGTTGCCATAATAAAAGAAGAAGAAGAAGACTTTCTTCAATCAGTGTGTGTTATAAATGACCCACGCTGAACTGTCCCACCAAACTCAATGACAGGGGGGCGCTACCATCGTTCAACTATATGGTTTCCAGCATGGCAAAAATCGGAACCAGCGATCCGGTATTGACGGTGGCGCGTCCCACTGTCAATGTCATGGATAGGACAGTTCAGTATTTTGGAACTATACCAGTGATGGATATTTTACAGTCAAAACTCATAATCGGTCAAAACAACTTTTGACTGCAAAAATCATGACTGACACTTTTGACTGATTTTTTCCAGTCAAAAGTGGTTTTGACCAAGGGCGTTAGTCAAAACCACTTTAGAGTGCAAAAAATCTTATTTAACTGACTGAATCTTGTTTTAAATTAATTTCTAATTCATGTTTTAATTTATTTATAGAGTACCTGAATTATGAAGAAGGCAAGTTCTCCAAATCAAGAGGGGTGGGCGTTTTTGGCACAGATGCACAGGTAAAAACAATTTTCTTATAACAGCAGTTATGGTCAGTCAGTTTGAATTCAAATTCATTTATTCACGGCTGCTGTTAAGCTGCCAGTTATAACTGCTACAGCAGTTGGTATTAAGTTTAAACTTTGAAACTAAAGTAATAGATTAAGAGCTAGTGAACGCCAGACCTACGTCATTTTATAAAAGCTGAAAGTTTGTCAGCGTATGCTCCCAACAGACAAGTTAAGTCTAACTTTTACGGTGGCTTTTTCTGTATATTCAATAGACAGTAATTCTACTAACGTTATACCATTAAATCTGATTTTTATGTATAATATCTGGACAATAATTAGAAGAAATCCTAGACTGCATCCCACTTAACATCAGGTGCGATTGTGGTCAAATACCTGCCTTGGTATGCATAAAAAAAAAGAAGTATTTTCCCCAACAGCCAGACAGTTTTGACAGTTCCAACTCCCTGCCAGACAGTTTTTTAGGGTAGCTCCCAAAGCCACCACGACCCAAACTTCATAAATTCACCAACATTAATATATCCTATATTGGGAGCATAGCATACGCTGACAAACTTTCAGCTTTTATAAAATGACGTAGGTCTGGCGTTCAGTAGCTCTTAGTCTATAAGTTATTCTATTTGTGATCAGGATACGGGTATTCCATCAGACGTGTGGCGGTTTTACCTGGCCAGCATCAGGCCTGAGACCTCAGACTCCAGCTTCAGCTGGGTCGAGCTAGGAACCAGGTGAGACACTGACAGACATTTCAAACTGTTTATTAAATATAATTACCTACTTTCTTTTTTAAGTATGTTAATGTTCCCAAATGGATCCCATTAATAAAAATTGTTTTTGTAATTTAGAAATCAAAATATAACTATGTCTAGAAACAAAATTGTAATCAGAGAAAAAAACATGCATATGTTTCTCCAAGAAATACTTTCCGTAAAAACGCCGGGGCGAATTTCGTGATTGAGTATTTGACACCATTTTCCAATAATTCGAAATCACAACTTTATCTATCTATCTATATAAATAAAAATGAATTGCTGTTCGTTAGTCTGATTAAAACTCGAGAACGGCTGGGCCGATTGGGCTGATTTTAATTTTAAAATGTTTCGTAGTCCAGGGTAGGTCTAAACGGTGAGCAAATAGGGAAAAATTGCGATGGCTTATTTATTGCCTTTAAGGCGGAACAGAGTTCGCCGGGTCAGCTATTTTAAATAAGACTTCATTCTGGTCTTAAAAACTTAATCAATTTTAAATTACGTGATATTTTTGGTTGCATTATGATTGAAAAGTAGTTTCATTGACTTGACAAAATAGTGATGTCAATTTCTTGTATTGCCATACAAAATCTATGGGAGTGTCTCGTTTTGACAGTCTTAAGTACGTCAATTGATTGGTGGTGTCAAATAGTCTATTACAAATGTCACGTATTGCAAATCAAATCAAATCAAAAATATTTATTCAGTTTAGACCACAAGTGGCACTTATGAACGTCAAAATGTAAATAATAAAAATAGAGAAGGTAGCCCTTATGGGGCACTTTACATGTCTCCTTATCTTTTGGGCCCTACCAGCGCTTCGAGACAAACATATGGCAACTTGTCTAGGGGGTCTAATGATGATGACGTATGGTCAAAGTGTATGTTTGTGTTAACAGAAACAACTCGGAGCTCCTGAACAATCTGGGCAACTTCTGTCATCGCTCCTTAAGCTTCTGCGCGAACAGCTTCAAGGGAAAAGTGCCTGACGTCATCCTGACGCCGAGTGACGCGGAATTGGTGGCGTTGGTCAACAGAGAGATAGTCGGTGAGTGGTTTAGTTTACCCCAGGGGAAAGGGGGGGAGGCCTAGCCAGGATAGACAGCGATTTAGCCAGGAAACGCGTGAGGTTTAGTCTAGTCTAGAAAGGGAGGTTTCAGACTAGACAGTCTGGAGGATGGGGAGTAGTCTAGCCAAGGAGAAGGAGGGCAATCTAGCTGGGATAGGGGATCAGTCTGGCCCAGGAGAAAGAGGGGGGGGGGCAGTCTAGCCAGGAGAGGGAGCCGTCTAGCCTATTAGAGGGGGGATCAGTCTAGCTCAGGAGATGGTAGAGGGTGGGGGGTAATCTAGAACAGGATAGGGAG